AGTTGTGGGGCTTGAACTCTGGGCTTGGGCGCTATCCCTGAGCTCTTCAGCTCAAGGCAAGTGCTCTACCGCTTGAGCCACAGCGCCACTAATGCTTTTTTTTGTGTGTGTGTCCATTGTGGGGCTTGAGTTTGGGTGCTGGGTCCTGTCCTTGAACTCTTTTGGTCAAGGCTAGTGCTCTCCCTCTTTGAGCCACAGTGCTACTTCCAGTTTTTCTGATAGTTATTTGGAGATAAAAGATTCTGGGTGGGAAGTTGGCTCAATGGTAGAGTGCTTACCTCACATGCATGAGGCCCTGAGTTTGATTCCTCAACACAACATAAGCAGAAAAAGCCAGAAGTGGGGCTGTGGCTCAAGTGGTAGGGTGCTCGCTTTGAGCTGAAGACCTGACGGACAGCGTTCAGGCCCAGAATTCAGGCCCCACCACCAAAAAAAAAGAGTCTCATGGACTTTGTTGCCCAGGATGGCTTTAATTTTGATCCTCAGATCTCAGCCTCCTGAGTAGCTAGGATTACAGGTGTGAGCCACCAGTGCCTGCTGCTTTTTAAACATAAACCCTTCTTTTAAAAAATCACTTGTTTGTTATACAGTAATTAAAAAAAAATTAGTAACCAGCCTATAGATCAAAAGAAAAATAATCAGTTCTTTCAGGATTCAAATATAAACTTGCTGTTGTATTGTTTATTATATTAACAGACTTTAGTCCACCTAACCTGTAACACAGACATCTTGAACAATTTCAATCATCAATAAAGAACTATATCATTAAGAAACAGTGGGGTATTTTTAAGGAGTTGGAAGACTTACCATGAGTGTAAACTCTTCAAATAGTGCCACTGGTGATACTCAAAGGTAAGCCTCCAGTCTCTTTTTTTTTTAGTTGAAAAATGCTATTGGTTGCAAGGAACAAGTAATTGTGACTGTCAGAGCTAATTGTAAGAATTTTGATGGAAGCATAAAGGAAGTAAAAATATCTTGGAATGGAGGAAACAGGATGATGCCTTATAAACATAGCTCTGGGTCCAGAGATTCTATAGGGACTATTATGCTTCTTTGTGAACTTTGTTAACTTTGTGTATGTGAAGTTTGTCCTGAGACTAGAGCTTTGGTTGTTCTTTTCCATTACTCTAAATCTTTTACTTGTGTTTCTGCTTATTTCCACTTGGGTTTGGCCATTATTTCATTTTGCCATAATGTCTGTGATTCTAATTTCTCTTGTTCATCTCAGTAGCTCTAATTGCTTCTGCTTAAGCATTCTTTTAGTTTAGCTCTACTGTTAATTGCTTTTGTACTTTATATCTCTCAGTTAACATTTTGAGAAGATGCATTTAATTGCATCATTTTAAGGTAGAATGAGATTTTTTTTTTTCTGTTGGTCGTGGGGCTTGAACTTTGGGCCTGGATGCTGTCCCTCAGCTCTTCAGCTCTACCACTTGAGCCACAGCACCACTTCTGGTTTTCTGGAGGTTTATTGGCTGTCAGAGTCTCATGGACTTTCCTGTTTGGCTGGCTTTGAACTGAGATCCTCAGATCTCAGCCTCCTGAATAGCAAGGATTACAGGTGTGAGCCACCGGTGCCCAGCTTGCTTCATCTTTTTTGTATCAGAGATTTCTTTATACCTTTGAGTAAGGTGATTAATTTTAGTTCATTCACCTATGGTAGGTGGGGTACAGTATTCTAAGGTATTACAAAACTGGGCCCTTGAGGAGAATGCAACTTTCTATTAAGTATAGTTTTAAAAAATGTAAGTACAGGGGCTGGGAAGGTGGCTCAGTGGTAGAGCGCTTGTCTTGCATGCATGAGGCCCTGGGTTTGATTCCTCAGCACCATATAAGCAAAAAGAAAAAAAGCTGGAAGTAGTGCTGTGGTTCAGGTGGTAGAGCGCTAGCCTTGAGCTGAAGAGCTGAGGGACAGCGCCCAAGTAGATAGGATTACAGGTGTGAGGCATTAGCACCTGCCTATTGATTCATTTATTGAGATACCACCTCACTGTATAGCCCAGAATTCTTTGTATATTATGAATACAAACCCTTTATCAGATATTTTCCCTTTTAGTGATTTGATTTCTTCCCTCCCTTTCCCTCCCTTCCTCTCTCCCCTTCTCCCCTCCCCTTCATTCCCCTTCTCCCCTTACCCCTCCCCCTCCCTCCCTTCCTCCCTCTCCCTTCCTTCCTTCCTGCCTGCCTGCCTTTCTAAGCTGTTTTTTTCCATCTGATCTCTTGATTTTTTTTTCATGTTATTAGTTGATACTTTTCTTTCAACTGTTATCTACTGATTTCTACTACAGAAGATCAGTCATGCCTCTGCCTTGTTTGCTATTAGTTTTTTGCATTTAGTGACTTTATAATCTTGGCTGAACTTGTTATTTTATGTACATTATTATAGTTGAGAATTTTTTTTTTATGGGGGGGGCTTGAACTCTGGGCCTGGGCGCTGTCCCTGAGCTCTTCAGCTCAAGGCGAGCGCTCTACCACTTGAGCTACAGCGCCACTTCCTGTTTTCTGGTGGTTTATTGGAGATAGGAGTCTCACGGTCTTTCCTGCCCGGGCTGGCTTTGAACCGCGATCCTCAGATCTCAGCCTCCTGAGTAGCTAGGATTACAGGCGTGAGCCACCAGCGCCCGGCTTAGTTGTGAAAATTTTTATTTGAGTTATATAGTACTGCTGAGTAATTTTTTTTCTGATAAATGTTGTTTTCTTTGGATATTTTTACATTAAATTTTTTTTCCTGGGGCTGGGGGTTTAGCCCAATGGAAAGGCACCCGCCTGGCGCACGCAAGGCCCTGGGTTTGGTCCTCAGCCCTGGAAAAAAAAAAATTTTTTCCTTTTATTATAAAGGTGTGGCCGGGCGCTGCATTTGTTCACCCTTTGTTCCTCCATTTCTGTGCCACCCCTTAAAAGACAGATAAATGAACAAATAAGACAGAAAAGAAAACAGAACAGCAACAAGAAAAAGCCTGTTTCCATTTTCTGGAGTTTATTTTTGATAAATAATTATTTTATATGATCAGAGGCACATAGGCATTGTGACTTTGTGTTCCACCCCTAAGAGTATCTTCCTTTGGTTTCATTGTGTGTGAATGCCTAGAGTTCTGTGTAATTCACCATGTTCAGTGTGTTTTAGATCTAGCTTCCTTTCCTTGGATTTAATGGTTATCTTATTTATTTCTTGGTTTGCTTAATTTCTATGAACTTACCATGAATCAAATTAAGCTGTAGGAATCATGCCTCTACCAAGCTCTATGACTCTCTTTTCAATATGTTCAGATATTTTCTGTTGCTTCCTATCATCATCTTTTTAAATAAATAATTCCTAGAGGCTCTGGCCAGTCCAGTTGGGACAGATTACCTTTTAAGTACTTTGCTGCATAAATGTCATCTTAGTATTTCTTTTTATCCCTATCCTGGAAATCCTTTCAATGTTTTTTTTTTTTTTTTTTTTGGGTCCCGTTGTGGGGCCTGAACTCTGGGCCTGGGCGCTGTCCCTCAGCTCTTCAGCTCAAGGTGAGTGCTCTACCACTTGAGCTACAGTGCCACTTCTGGTTTTCTGGTGGTTTATTGGAGATAAGAGTTTCACGGACTTTCCTGCCTGGGCTGGCTTTGAACCGAGATCCTCAGCTCTCAGCCTCCTGAGTAGCTAGGATTACAGGCATGAGCCACCAGCACCGGCTCAATGCTTTCTTATGTGGAAAACTCTTACTCTAGGAACTTAAGTCTCAGTTTAGGTCCTTATTTTGGTGGAGCATATTCTCTCTCCATTAGCCTCCTAAGAACGTTTATGGGAGGTATATATTTTGAGATGTTGCAAATCTGAAGTAGCCTTCCTTACTGTCTTGTCTTTGAATGATAAGTTGGGCAAAAGTTCTAACTTGGAAATTATTTCCCTTAGAATTTTGTCAGGCATTGCAGCATTATTTTCTTATTTCAAGTGTTTCTTTTGAGAGTTGATGCCAAACATAATTCTTAATCTTTTACGTAGAGTTGCATAATGTCTTACACTTGTAATCTCAGCTACTTGGGAGGAGAAGATCAGGAGAATTACCAGAATTTAAGGCCAATCTGAGCACAAAGTTAGTGAGACTCCTTTTTAGTCAATAAGCTGGGCATGGTGGTGCATATCTGTGATCCCATCTATTGTATAGCTTAAGAGGGAGGATGCCTGGCTTGAATGAGACTTGGAGTTTAAACAGTTCTCATTAGAGGAACTGTTATCTGTGCTGAGGTTTGAATTCAAGTCCTTATGCATGCTTGGCTCACATTCTGCTGCTTGAGCCATGCCTCCAGACTGGCTTTTTTCTGGCTATTTTGGAGATGTTGTCTCTAGGACTTTCCTGCCCAAGCTGGCTTCAAACCTTGATGATCTGAATCTTAGCCTCCTGAATAGCTAGGATTTAGTGTGTGTCACTGGCACCTGGCTGGAGGGTCTCTCCCAACTCCATTGTCTGATATTTTTCAGCATTGAACACACATTGAACTAATATTCTTCAGAATGTCTACTTTTTTTTTTTCCTTTAATGATTTCTTTTCTTCCAGAAAGGCATTATAGGTTAAAATGACATATCATGGAGCCAAACTGTGAAGTATGAATTCCACTTCTGTCTCATATTAGCCCTGTTAAGTAGGGCAAATGACCTTATTTTCCTGATTTGTAAATCAGGGTCATAATGGTATCTCTCTAACAGGTATCTATCTAGCAATGTTATTAAAAAGATTAAATTTATGGGCTGGGAATGTGGCTTAATGGTTGAATGTTTGCCTACCCTGCATGAAGCCCTAGGTTTGATCCCTCAGTAGGTACCATATAAACAGAAAAAGCCAGAAGTGGTATTATGGTTCATGTGATAGAGTGTGATCCTTGAGCAAAAGAAGCTCAGGGACAGTGCCCATGCCCTGAGTTCAAGTCCTAGGACTGGCAAAAAAAAAAAAGATTAAATTTATATGTTTAAAATATTTAGATGAGATTTTTTCCCCTCCCTCTCTCCTTCCCTCCCTCCCTCCCTCCCTTCCTTCCTTCCTTCCTTCTTTCCTTCCTCTTTCCCTCCCTTCCTCCCTTCCCTCCCTCTCTCCTTCCCTCCCTCCCTCCTTCCCTGACTTCTTCCCTTCCTCCCTCCCTCCCCTTCTGTCTGTCTCTCATGCTTTCTTTTCTTTTCTTTTTTTTCATTGGTCATTGGTCATGGATTGAACTCAGGACCTGGGAACTGTTCCTGAGCTTTTTTGTTCAAGGCCAGTACTCTACCACTTTGAGGCAGTTTCACTTCTAGTTTTTAGGTGGTTAATTGGAGAAAAGCATCTCACAGACCTTCCTGTTGGGGCTTGCTTTGAACTGTTATTATCAGACCTCAGCCTCCTAAGTAGTTAGGACTACAGAAGTGAACCACCAGTGCCTGGCTCAGATGAATGTTTGTAAAGCAATATTGCTTTTGTTAGCAATTTAGGTTATGGTTATTATTATTATTATTTGGTAGTGGGGCTTGAACTCAGGGCCTAGGTGCTGTCTCTGAGCTCTTTGCCTCAAAGCTAGTCCTCTACCACTTTAACATGGTGCCACTTTTGGCTTTTGAGTGGTTAATTGGAGATAAAAGTCTCCTAGGGACTTTTATGCCTGGGCTAACTTTGAAAGTGATCCTAAGATCTCAGCCTTCTAAGTAGCTAGGATTTTTTTTTTTTTTTTTTTGGGTGCGGTTGTGGGGCCTGAACTCTGGGCCTGGGCACTGTCCCTCAGCTCTTCAGCTCAAGGCTAGCACTCTACCACTTGAGCTACAGCGCCACTTCCGGCTTTTTTCTTTCTGCTTATGTGGTGCTGAGGAATTGAACCCAGGGCCTCATGCATGCAAAGCAAGCGCTCTACCACT